GACCCTTAATCTATGAATCTATGAATCTATGAAAAACCAAGAAGGTGAAAAGAATTAGCCTTTTTTAACATAAAAATGCACAGCTCAAATCCTTTAATGGGACTATTTACCATGTGGGGCAATTAATGAGAATAAAGGCCCTAGCTTCCTGAAAAGGGAATTGTAAACTACCATTTCTACTAGTTTCATTTTTCCCATTAATAATATCAAACATCAACTGTTCACTCACTACAGCAATGGGTTTGCCAAATAGAAAGCAATGACAGTTCTAGGATCCCAAAGTGCCAGACTGGGAGGAAATGGTGAATGAAAGGTATATTGGCAAGTGCGCATAATTTAATCAAGATAAATGCCAAAGAACACAGCATAATACTCCCTGAACTCTGTTTTGGGAAATAATTTGGGATTAATCTGAAACTCTGATTAAAAACAGGCTTGGCAAAGAACCCCATAAAATGGTCTCCTGGGACAGGATTACAGTATTTAGAAATAAGAAGACTGGGTATTGGAAATTGTTTTGGGACCTGGAACATTAGTATAAGTTTTAGGGAATGGATCAAAAAATTGGGGTATCAGAGTCAATTTAAATTTCTTCATCACATACCTGCACACTTTATCACATGGCCATTACCTGCACAAGTATCGTGACACTTAGCCTCTGATACTGGCATTTCATTTTAATTGTGTTTTCTTTTTACTGATGAAATGTTTTGAGCTGTAAATCCCTCTGCTTTATGACACATGTTTTGACAATCTTTACCAAATGTGAGTCTCATATGTCAGTCAGTTCAGTTTCTGCACTGTTAACACACTGATAATTTGCTGGGGTTGCTTTAGTTAAGACAATCCCTCCTTAGCAGCTGATGAAGATGCTGTTAAGCAAGCATCTTTGATTTATTCTATATGATGCAGCTCTACTCTGCTTTCTGTCTGACTTCTCAGACAACTACCGCTCTCTGTTTTAGTTAAAACAAGAGTATTCATATAAACTATGGACAAGAGGAAGTAGCAATATCTCCTTTCCATGGCAGGAGAAAGTTTTAATGGCAATGGCCAAAAAATGTCTTTATTTCCCTGTTCTGTTATAAAGACAGCTTTCTGCAAAAGAAAAAATTAAATTCATTTTCCCATTTTATGTTTTGTGAAGGAGTTTGCTTTTTAAAAAAGAACCCCTTCCCCAAGTTTATTGTTTTTGTATATCAATTAACCATGGACAAACATTTAAAAAAAACCCCATCAGATGCACACAAAAAGCAGCTTTACAGACAAGGACCTGGGGCTACAGTAGAGAAGAGGAGACTGAGCGGGGATTTAATAGCAGCCTTCAACTACCTGAAGCAGGGTTTGAAAGAGGATGGAGCTACACTGTTCTTAGTGGTGGCAGACGACAGAACAAGGAGCAATGGTTTCAAGTTGCAGCAAGGAAAGTTTAGGTGAGATAATAGGAAGAATTTTCTTACTAGGAGGGTAGTAATATACTGGAACAGGTTACTAAGAGAGGTGATGGAATCACCATTCTTGAAGGTTTTTAAGACCCGGATAAACAAAGCTTTGGCTGGGATGATCTAGTTGGGGGTGGTCCTGCTTTAAGCAGGGGGTTGGACTAAATGACCTCCTGAGGTTCCTTCCAACCCTAATTGTCTATGATTCTATGAAATGCAACACTTTCCTATACACTTAATTGTTTCTCATTTGATTATGTAATTTACAGCCTTATGAAAGATCATGCATCCTCAGTAGTATCCCATCCTGTTTTCAAGTTCCAACCATTATCACTATATTCTGACCAGTTTTACTCTTCTTTACTTCTAGCTTTATTTCATGTGAAATGTTATTTTAACATCAGTCTGTGGGTTGTAAACCATACATCTTTCCAAATACTGTGCACTCAGCATTCCTTCCTTCCTTTGTCATGTCCTTGTGACAAGGTATTTAACAGAATTCACAGATTCATTGGAATCTGACAGGTTGCACCATAAGCACTTCCGCTGTGGCCCCAAACTTGCACGCTTTGCGCTGTCTACCATGTGCCTTAGCACTTGCTTCACCCCAGCCACACTCAGCATTTATAAGAGAGAAGTAAATAATGCAGAGGTTAAGCATGATCTCCTAATCCAGTTCTTAGAATACAGTGAAATATGTATTTTTTTACATACATCAAAAAATTCTGTAATAAACCTAACCATTATCCTTTTAAAAACCTCCATTTTTTCTCTTATGGTTTTGGAGAGGTGGAGGGCAGGGACTGGCAGGTTGTGGGTTTGCTTAGGCCAGACAAACTCTCGTGTATGAGTTCTATTTCTATTTAAGTGATCAAATTCTAATGTTAGTTTCCTGTGCAATTGTTAATAGATCTTTATCTTCAGTTTGCAGCCAAAAGTACTAGACTAGCATGGTGCATCCAACCAATCACCATTAACTGACAGTGAATGAACCAGTGATCTATTCACAACAGAAGCACAGAATTTTGTTTCAGACGTTGCAAAGAAATATCAAATAATTTTGAAATAAATCTAAGAATAATCTTTGGCTAATCTTTGCATTTTTCTTATATTGTTGTGAAAAAGAGCTCTGCCTGGCTAATTCTGTATAAGATAAAGGACTGCATCTTTTACCTCAATAATCCTCTTGTAACAGAGAGCCTGGGATGCTCTGTCACTTTGAGAGAAGCAGCCCAGAGCGAGCACTGCAGGGCAGGCAGGGCACAGCTGTGACTGGGGGGCCACTAGCTAAAGAGATTAATTAGCAGGCATCTGCAAACAACCAAAGAGAGTCACCTAACTGGAAGGGGCAGGACCCTGGGAGAGATATAAGGCAGGGCCAGAGCCAGGGTAGCCTGTCTGGCCATGGAGGCTGAGAAGGAAGAGCTCTCCAGAGGTGCCAGTGACTATAAGCAAACTGGGAGAGCCTAGGGAGACTCAGCAGCCCAAGAGAGGGCATAGATAAAGACCTTGGAACAGATGGGTCTGGGGCCCATACAGATAGAGGGGGTCCAGGGAGGCTGCAGGGGCTTGGATAGAGCCCGATAGGGCAAGACAAGAAGCAGGGAACCCTGAAGCTCAGTCCAGTCTGTGAACTAGAGCTAGAGCTCTCAACTAGAGTAAAAAGATGGAGGCCAAGAAGACCAAATTCTGATATGGGAACAACAGTAGACTCACTCTAGGTCCCTCAGGCAACCCTCCTCCTTCCCAAACAATAACATCAAAGGGATGGCACGCAAGTGGAGTTGAGGGCCTAGAGTTGGAGCCAGGGCAGGAATTGTGTGGCCACCAGGATATGTCACAGCTGCCCCTGGGATCTCAACATACCACACTACCATGAAAATTTCAGGTGTGCATGGGAAACTGTGTGCTGTTAATGAGCAAATCATTCATATAGTTGACTGAATTATGCTAGTGGTTTAGGCACTGAGGCTGTCACTGGCTCCAGGGCATCTAATTTGTATCTAGAGTTTACAATATAGATAAACATACTGGAACAGGAAAATACCATGGAGTTAATGCTGCAGTACCACTTGCCATACTAAAGTGATGACAAATTGTGATAATAGCTTGAAAACCATGAGCCATTTTAAAATTAAACATGGCAGGTGGTCCCTATTTCCCTCTTGTGGTTTTTGAGTTTATAGGAAGCACGAGGGGCATACTTTTAAGTTGACCACTTATCTGCAACTCTAAGAGCTAAGAACTTGATCTTTCTATTTCAACTTAAATCTGAGAATATCCCATCATCCTGTAACTCCATGACCAGGAACAATAAACAAAGTACTAAATTATTTGAAACTGAATTATAGCATCAGAGGTGGCAAGCAAAGCAGGTTGGGAATATTCTAGCCAAATAGTTTTCTGACAGAAAACTCCATTTCTACAAATTTCAGATTTTCCATGAAAAAAACTTCAATTTTGCTGAAAAAATATTGATTTTCTGCTGGAATACTGGTTTCCACCACTGGGTATCCTAGGAGTATTAGGTTTCCACATTCCCTAGGTTTAAAGTTCCACACTCGGAGCTGCTAGGGATCCAGGGAACCTTTGACTCTGAGGCTCTGTAACTCCCCAAATGGCTAGGTTACATGGAAAGTTATCCATGCCATATACATCAGTTAGTATTTCCAAATATATATGTTTGAATATTTGGAAATAATACTGAAACATGTTAGTATTTCCTGTATGTATGTGTGTGTGTATGAAAATGTATATATATAAAATTCCATATCCGGGGGGGGGGGAATCCTTAAGATTTTGATGTTGTTTGCAGAACAGAAAAAAAAATCTATATATATGCTTTAAAATAGATACTGGAAATACTAACATGTATCACAGAAATTAAGGATTGAGTCCAACCATGCTCCTCTGGGCAGGAATACTGCAGAGATCACATGATCCCTGCAAGGTGTCTGTCCCATCTCTTCCTGAAGACTTCAAAGGTTGGGAACTTCACTACCTCCTTGGGAAGTCTATTCGAGATTCTGGTCACCCTTACCATAAAGAAGTTTTTCCTTACATCCAACCTGAAACCATCCTATTACAGATTATGGCCATTGCTCCTTGTCCTCCCCTGGAGTGCCCTAGTGGACAGTTTTTATTCCAGCTCCTGATAATCATTCCTTACATACTCATAAATGACCACCAAGTTCCCCCCTCAGTCTTCTCTTCCCCAGGCTGAACAGTCCCAGATCCTATAGTCTTTCCTCATAAGGTCTATCCTCCAGGTCCTTAATTATTCTTGTGGCCCTTCTCTGGACCCTTTCAAGATTCTCCACATCTTTTTTTGAAGTGCATCACCCAGAACTGGACACAGTACTCCAGCTGGGGTCTCACCTGTGCCAAGTAGAGAAGAAAAATCACTACCTTAGCCCTTCTTGCAATGCATCAGCTAATGCACTGCAGTATGCTATTAGCTCTTGACTACAGTGTTGCATTGGCAGCTCATGTTCATCTTGTAATCAGCCCCATAACCCTGAGGTCCCTTTCAGTGATTGTGCTGGCCAGAACATCTCCTCCTAACATATATTCATGTTGCTGGTTACTTCTCCCCAGATGAAGTACTCTGCATTTATCCTTATTGGACTGCATCCGGTTCCACTCCACCCACCTTTCCAGCTTGTCCAGTTCCACTTGGATCTGCATCCTATCCCCTAACATGACTGCTTTTCCCCATAACTTAGTATTGTATGTAAATTTTATGTAAACTTGGCCATCATGCTTTCCACATCCTCATCTAAGTTGTTGATAAAGATGTTGAACAGCACAGGGTCAAGAACCGAACCCTGCGGGACACCACTGGCCACCTCCTGCCAAGATGATACAGACCTGTCCACTAACACTCTCTGGGTTTGACCTCTTAGCCAGTTCCCAACACACCTGACCATGGACTCTGCCAACCCACAATCCCCCAGTTTTTTTATGAGTGTCATGGGAGGCCATATTGAAGGCCTTCATAAAATCTAAGTGTATGACATCAATTGCATCTCCTTCATCTAAGCAGTTCATTACTTGATCATAGGTTGGTCAGACATGACCTGCCCACAATGAAACCATGTTGACTATTCTTCAGCATCATGCCTTCTGGCAGTCTCTTATAAATAGACTTCTTGATAACTTTTTCCAAAATTTTACCTAGTACCGGTCAAA